ATTCACTTGCGTACGTGTGAACGCTCCGACTCAAACCGGCCCGAGCCAAATTTAGCCCGAGCCAAATTTAGCCCATTTGACTCGAGCCAAACCATGACCGTGTGAACGCGGTATATATGTATATACATACATTCATATATATCCACATATATATAGTATATATATATTAGTATGGTGATTTACTGTAGAACACATGAAGATGGTAATTGGAGTAAACAAATAAGGTCGTTATGTAAATTATGTAACAGGAAATTGGCTAACATATTCATCTCACTTCCTGGTAATGGTTCAATTAGGCGAGAGTCCAACCCTACGCCCGGCTACGGTCACAACAACCGTTGTCCAACGCTGGGTAGGTGGGGGCACGATACGTGCATAATACCGAGTATGTTGTTCTGACCCTGATCCAGTCATTCTAAAATCGCCTTGTACTCTAAAATTATCTCTTATGTCAATAACAATTTCCTAGACATTTATATATAGTAGCTAGAGATGTGAGGGAGCATAGCACAACTATAGGCACACATCAATCTGCGGGTTGTAGCCCGAGCAGCGAGGAGCAACCTAGACTCCACGAGAGAATGTTGATAACCCCCGTCGCACACCACACTCAGCAACTAGCCCTGGCAATTGGGTGTGACTGCTCGTCGGCACAGCCGTTTCCATGGGTGCAATCACTCATCGGAACAACAGGTCAATGCTCAGATGTGATCGCGTGCCATCACCATCACCTGGAACGACAGAGCGACGGACCAGCCGGCTGACGAGTTGTACACCTGTCCTGCAACCAGTCGCATTAGGTTTCCCGATCAATGCTGTCCAGTTACAAGCTCTTGCAATCGCCTTGCAAGGTTATTCACGTGACCTTTGGGACACGGTGGACATGTCAAAGTCGGGATTCACCGCTGGGTGCCGAGGTCGGACCATCACTGAAGTGTATCAATGTCACTGGGCTCATAAGTGCTTAGACCAGAGCCTATCACTCTCACAGGGACCGTCACCTCAGCAGGGACCATCACCTCAGCAGGGACCATCACCTCAGCAGGGACCGTCCCCTCAGCAGGGACCATTACCTCAGCAGGACCGTCACCGGTTTAGGGACCATCTCCATGGTAGGGGACTGCCGTCTTTAACATCCACACACCGCCTACGACGTCCGCTGTGTGTATGTGGCCCACCCGCATCATGCCTCCTGCCCACCGCTCGTGGCCTGCCAGAGGGCGCCCGCATCACGTCGACCGTTCACCCCCCGCCATAGGGAGCCCGCATCTTGACGACGCCGTCTGCCCGCCTCTCGCCAGCGTGCTATCCTGTGCTAGAGTCCGCCGGAGAAGCGCGAAGAGGACTTGCCGGCTCCACCGCCGCTCCGCGTACCCGTGCCGAGGAACCCGCCGCCGCTGCCGCGAACCTTCATGCGAGACTTTCCATCACCAGACCGCTTCGAGCGGTGTGAGAACTCTGACGTGACGATGTCGACCTGCCACGTCTTCGGCTTCGGCTTGCCGCGGTGGTGCCGGCTCGCTCCGCGGTTCTCCGCGCCGTGCTTCGTCGCTGTCGCCGTCTTCCCACACGCGCAGCCCATCGCAGGCGTGGAGGAGAGGGGAGGTGGAAGAAAGGAGGAAAGGAGAATGGTGAGAGTGAGGAGACGGAGGAGGTGGAGGTGGAGGTGGCAGAGGAGGTGGAGGTAAAGGAGGAGGAGGAGGAGCAGGCGAGAAGGTTGAGCAGGAGGAGGGGCAGTAAGGGAAGGTGGAGGAGAAGATGGAAGTGGAAGAGGGGAAGAAGAAGGAGGAGGAAGACTTGTAGAATTGGCGGTCAATCAGAGAATCGTATAGGCGAGCTGGTTGACATCCATCACAGGTCTAGCTATCTGCGGGAGAGAGACAGAAGACAGGCATTAGAATGATGTCTGAATATCTGTACGAAATCTGCGCCGCAGCGTGACTGACTCTGCTAACACAGGCAGGGAAAGGGCGTGAATCCGACATCACTGCCAAGCGTTTATGTTTACCTAAGGGCGATAAAAACGAGAAAACATTTGCGCCGCGCCGGGAGAGACGTTCTTGCTTAAAGAGCAATAATTCCGCACCAAGTTTACGTCTAGAGAAAAAACCCTCCCCGAGTCGATCATCCGGTTGATGCGTTATACCATGACGATGGGGGGACGCATGCGGTGACGGGGATGGAAGGTGGGCGTACAGGGCAAATGTGGACGTGATACGGTAACCCCGCAGAGCAACAGTGTCACACACGCTCTTACGTTAGCGTGGCTATGTAGGGCTGGCTGATCACGCTCGCTACATATACATTATAGCAGCATGCATGTTCTGCCACCGCCGCAGTCATACAGACACACCGGCTCAGGCTCTCACCATAATATCAAGAGCGTATAAAGAATATATATCCTCCGAAATTAACGGGAGTCCGGCGTCAAATACTCCCTGATTAACTGTCGGACTCCCTGATTTGACATATGCAGGAGTCCG